ACAAATGTCTTGGACACTTAAAGGTTTCTCAAAGGTAAAGTGAGTTTTAGGAAACTCCCCCCCTACCAATTCGTTTCCAGTTCAGACTGAGACAAGGAAAGGCTTTATCTCACAAATTTTGCAGGAACACAAATTCTTGCAAAAGAAAATTGTTTGTCTGTCTGGGGTCCCAATAAAGTTATTTTTTGATAGTGAAAGAACTCACAAACAGAACATAAGAACTGAAGAAGAGCCGTGCTGGATCAGGCCAAGGGTCCATCCAGTCCAGCTTCCTGTATCTCACAGGGGCCCCACCAGATGCCTCTGGGAGCACACGAGGCAACTATCAGGGGTCTCCTGATACCCCTCCCCCGCATCTGACATTCTGAAGTACATTCCTTTTAAGCCTGGAGATTATACATCCCCATCATAGCTCATAACTTGTGATGGATTTTTCCTCCAGAAATCTGTCCAATCCCCTTTTAAAGGCATCTGGGCCAATACAGGTGAGCATGCAGTCACCATATGCTAAACTATCAGTCTTTGGTCTTGATAGCATTGAGAAGAAAACTGGAGATTATGATCATTATAGTGGTGATTCGCTTAATGATTGCCCCGCATTAGGACCAAATTGCTGTACGACGATCTTTTTGCGATCGCAATTGCAATCTCAAAACAATGGTCTAAATAGGGTTTTTTCGCTTTGCGATGATCGGTTCTCTGCTTCGGGAACCGATTCTTTGCAAAATGATGGTTTTTTTAAACAGCTGATCGGCAGTTTCAAAATGGCCACCGGGTGCTTAAAATGGACCCCCGCTGTGTTTAGGGACGGATTCCTCGTTATACAGGCAGCAAAAATGGCCACCGTATGGAGGATCTTCGCTGGACTGTGAGTTTTGACCCCATTGGAATTAATTGAACTGGTTTCAATGTGTTTCCATGGGGTTTTTAATTTTGTTTTACGATGTTTTCGCTTAACAGCGATATTCCTGGAACGGATTATCGTTGTTAAGTGAGGCACCACTGTATAGTTTTCTGGTGTATGTAGGACGCAAAATTAAGTGCATAAGCTCCAAAGCTATGTGGAGATATTCTCTCCACAGTGCACCAAAACAAATAGGGGAAAGATGAGACTCACACTGCCTTTAGCTCTCAGTTTCTCTCTCGGTCTGTGCTGGACCTTGCTATGAAAAGGCAAAAAAAGAGAGGTGATCTCAAGTATTCAGAGATTTGTGGGAAACTGAGTAAGAGGATGCTTATCAGGGATCTTTTTAAGTGTTATGAATTCGATGTACTTCTCAAACTGGCTAACCAGAGAAACAGAATAAGTTTTGAACCTGGGGTTACTTTCAAAAATGCTTTGCTAAGTTCATGACAGAAAATGTGTCTGTACTGTAAATGAAGTGATGAATGAAGTAATAAAATATAAAAGTCATTTGTAAGCATGAAACAGAAAAAGAAACACAGGACCACAATAACACTGTTTGAGAAATGCTGAAATAGGCTTAGACATAAGGCAGGAACTTTGAACAGAAGACCTAGGTGTCATTCAGCAGAATTAACAGGAGGTCTCTCTCAAATGGAGAAGAGCTGATTTAACATGTCTAGAAAAACCAATTCATGCACCAGCTAATGTATATGTCAATTATTAGCAGGACAATTGAATTGTGATTACCTAACTGTACTCATCTTCTTAGGTGACTAAACACGGTCAAAAAACAGCAAGTGAAATAGTGAAGAAGGGAAAATATAATCTGTTTTCTTCGCTCCATAAGACGCACAGACTTTCCACCCCCCTGTTTTGTGGGGGAAAAGTGCGTCTTACGGTGCGAAAAATACGGTACCTAACTGTACTCATCTCCTTAGGTGACTAAACACGGTCAAAAAAACAGCAAGTGAAATAGTGAAGAAGGTATTGGTTCCTCCCCTTTTTTCCTGTAGACCAGTGGTTTCCAACTTTTTTTGAGTCACAACCCTGTTTTATAATAGCCAAGTACCTATAACCACCACCATTGCATTCATAAAAAGGTGTTTTGAGTGGGGTAAAGTTATCCCTTCTCAGAACTTAGAGGCCTTTTCTCCCTCAAAGGGCCTGTTTTTCATACATACACATACACACTAACCTTAATATCTGGCTTTGAAAGGTCAAGGATTTTTTTTTAAAAAAACAAGGGCTACAACACATATAAAGTGACCCTCAAACCCTGGAAAATATTTTGAGAGCCCCTTGGTGTCATGACCCCCAGGTTGGGAAACACTGCTGTAGACAGATTGACAAGCCCAGAAATCTATCATGCGCTACCTCAGATCATTTGAATGGTGTGGTTGAATTAGAAAGGCTTGATGTAATTTTTTTTTAACCTTTTTAACATTAACTGTGCTTTTAAAAAAAAATGCTACTCAGCCTAAATGAACGTCTGATGAGCAAGGGGAACTGCCAAAACTTGAAAAAAAATGACCCTTGTCCATTGATGTATAATTTATTTTTTACCTTTTTAACATTAACTGTGCTTTTTTTTAAAAAAAATGCTACTCAGCCTAAATGAATGTCTGATGAGCAAGGGGAACTGCCAAAATTTGAAAAAAAAAAATGACCCTTGTCCATTGATGTATTTTATTTATTTAAACAATTTTTGTACCTCATCATTCTCCTAAAAAAGGGCTCAAGGTGGCTTACATCATTAAAAACACAATATTAAAAATTTAAAAAACAGAAAATTATTCAAATATTTTAAAAGAATCAATAAAACACTGCATTTAAAATGCTAGGTAAAAGCATTACTAGAAGAAATTTAAAAGCAACAAAAGTACAGATGATCCCATTTTAAAACCTCTCTTAGACAGCCAGTCACTAAGGAACAGCTTGTCTAAAGGACAGCAAAGATGGGGCCAGCTTGGCCTTTTGTGGGAGGGAGTTCCAGAGATTGAGAGCAGATTTTAAAACCTCTCCTAGACAGTAAGTTGCTAAGGAAAAGTCAGCTTGAAGAGAAAGGTCTTAGCCTGCTTGGAGAAGGATAGCAAGATGGAGTGCTCAGGCAACGGTAGCTTCATCTCACCTGATTGAAACTTCTGTGCCATACAATTTGGTTGTTGTTAATGGTTAACTCTTTGCCTGCAGGAGCTTGAGGATCGAGACTTCCGATTTTAACTCTCTCCATTGAGCCATTGGGGAACATCAGCCAGTTTGTGATGTCAAAACCAACAAGTAATTCTCCATTTTCATTGAACTGTACAGTGTCTCCAGCGCTGTTATTGAATAAGACACTTCTCAAAAACCGGTGGAGCTGGATGGAAAGGAGATACGATGAAAGGAAGGTATGGAAACAATTGGGTTGCATCAGCCAAACTTTGAAAGACTTCTCAGAATTCCAGCTGCCATTTCTCTCCATCTTCCTCCTTACAAGTTGTCAGTCTTAAGTAATAATTATAAAAACATTTTGTAAACTAATTTTCTGTTTCTAGACTATTCAGACCTCCAAATGTTCAGCTCTAGTTAGCACAACCAGTGTTGAGGAAGGCTGGGAGATGACACATCAACTTTTCTAGACATCAGGAGTTCCTAGATAAACATCAGAAATTAATAGTCTAGAAATCTTCGATAATTTTCACTCGGAATTGCTGAAAAGTCCAGATACAACCTCTTGTGCCTGGCACTGCTAATCCAAATGGATTTTCAAAATTAAACAATTTCCTTGGATTTGTTTTATGCTGAACCAGATGTTTTGCTTTTAACGTTCTTACTCATTGGTTGGCCTTCATTTAAAATGTTGAGTTGCATTTACCTGCCATGGTTGCACATTCTGAAATGCCAGTCTCCTTTCTTGAACCACCCGCTTATGCTTAGAGATGGATTTAAATACGGCATGCAAAGCATGTGCCACAGCATAGACAGCATTGTAAACATTGTAGCTGTGGCCAGTCATGTCCATTTCAAACAGAGTTCCAGGAAGGGTTTCCAGCTTTTCTTCCCCAGTGCAGGATTCTTGGGACTCTTCCTGCTCCTCAAGCATTTTTAAAGAACAACTGAAGGCCTGTTCCCAGAAGTCATGGATAAAATTGTCTGCATTGTCCCAGCCAGGCCTTACCATCTGAATGTAACTCTGGAATCCCAATGGCTGATTTGAGTGAGTGGCGAAGGATATGGAGCCATGGAAGATTTGTATATCCCAAATCTTTTGGATAGATATTGATGCAAAATCCCAGTGGGATGTAACAATCCATACTTTACCCTGTGGTGGCATTTCTATGAAGGGAGCTAGAAACTGCAGCATTCTCAAAGCCAGAAAGGATGGGGGTTCTCCATATACCAAGAATACATTGGCTTTTTCCTTGGTGGCAAATTCATAGGCTTTCCACTGCAGTAGGATCAAGTCTATCAGCTCATTCAGATAAGCGTCTTTTGGTAATCTCGTTATGAAAGCATAGCAAATGCCATTCTGGGAAAGCATCGGCAGCATGATCCGTAAAAACCTGTCTCCTCTGTCATCACCCACAGCAAACAGTCCAATCCATGTCCATCTGAAATGTTTGAGTAACCACACAATTCCCTTGTATTGTTGGTTTTCATTTGGGACCATCTGGTACAGAAATGGGAAACCAGCTTCGGCAGCATGTGTTGCGACAAAGGATCCATATGTGAGCTGAAAATGAATTTATGGAGATATTAAATGGATTATAATTGGAGGGCAAGTAGTAAAATCATACAATGTGAAACAAACTTCGAGGCCACTTCACCGAATAAATAAATTTTGTAATGCACAAAATTTAGAAGGACAGGTTGTGATGCTGTTGTTGTTCAGTCACTTAGTCATGTACGACTCTTTGTGACCCCATGGACCAGAGCATGTCATGCCCTCCTGTCTTCCACTGCCTCTCGGAGTTGGGTCAAATTCATGTTGGTAGCTTCAATGACACTGTCCAACCATCTCATCTCCTCCTGCCTTCACACTTTGCTAACATCAGGATCTTTTCCAGGGAGTTTTCTCTTCTCATGAGATGGCCAAAGTATTGGAGCCTCAGCTTCAGGATCTGTCCTTCCAGTGAGCACTCATGGTTGATTTCCTTTAGAATGGATAGTTTTGTTCTCCTTGCGGTCCAGGGGACTCTCAAGAGCCTCCTCCAGCACCACAATTCAAAGGCATCAATTCTTCGGCGGTCTGCTTTCTTTATGGTCCACCTCTCACATCCATACATCACAACAGGAAAAACCATAGCTTTGACTATGCAGAGTCTCCTCCAGCTGGGTTATATTTAAATGTATTCTTTTAATTGTTTTGATGTGGTAAATATGTGATGGGTGGGGTGGGTGAGGAGCATGGTAAGAATGTTTTTTTAAATTTTCTGGGAGAGAAACAAGATGAAGAAAGGAAAATTGTGGGTGAGAGAATGGTGTCTGGGAAGAGAACAATCTCGGTTTGGTATTACATCAGTCTTTTTAACGAGCAGTGTAAACAAGCAGTTGGAGAGAGCACTCTGAGAGAATAATCTGAAAGAATAATTGAAAGACTGAGAGTGGACAGAGAGAGCAAAAAGTTGTGCTGAATGAATTTAAAACCTAGCCATAACAACCTTACTTTGACCCTGATATTTGAACAGGCCAAGATCATCCACACTCTTGTATTTCCAAACACCATGTATGGGTATGAAATCTGGACAGTAAAGAAAGCTGACAAGGAAAAAAATTATTTGTTTGAAATGTGATGCTTGGAGGAGAACTTTGTGGATAACCTGGACTGCCAGAACGGCACACAAGTGGGCCCTCAATCAAATGAAGTCTGAACTATCTCTGGAGGTAGCTGACAAGGAAAAAAAAATGTTTGTTTGAAATGTGATGCTTGGAGGCGAATTTTGTGGATAACTTGGACTACCAGAATGGCACACAAGTGCGCCCTCAATCAAATAAAGTCTGAACTATCTCTGGAGGCAAAAAATGTTGAAGCTCAGGCTGTCCTATTTTGGGTTCATATGGGAAGACAGCATTCTCTGGAAAAAGACAATAATCCTTGGAAAGGTGGAAGGCAGCAGGAAAAGAAGAAGACCAAATATGAGATGGGCTGATTCCTTAAAGCTTGAGTTTACAGGAGCTGAGCAGGGTTGTGGATAACAAGGCATTATGGAAATCATTCATTCATAGGGCTGCCATAAGTTGGAGGTGACTTGACAGCAGAAACAATTTTAACAAAATCTTATTAGTTCCCTTCAAGTTGAATGTGCAGAGTTAAATGCCTGAGGGTGTTATAAGGGCCTGAGTAAAAGGGGAAATGTACATACATGGGGTAGCTAAAGGTTTGTGGCAGGAAGAGAGGGAGTAAATGAAGATTATTAAAGAAAACACATTTATTCCTGTGATTATTTAAAGAGATGATTACCTAAACAGTCAGGTGACAAGATGAAGGGAGGCTTGGCATCAGTATCAGAGAGAAAGCGTGTGACAGACACTCAGGAACAATCATCACTTATGCTGAGGCCACTCCCAGTCCCCACCAGTAGCAGAGGGGTATGACAGAGATTTTCATGCAGTTGCCCAACCTCTGTTTGAAGTCTTCCAGTGAGGACACAGAGCCTACGCTCACACTTAAACCTATACCTACACACTCATTTGCTGTATTATTGAACTGGGTCTTCTTTAAGAATATTCAATCAAATTCAAGTCCTGTTTTGCAAGGTGATCAAAGGAGGAACGTTGCACAGAGGGGGGGTGGAGACATGGGCATGTGGCTGCACACCTAAGAGGGAACCTTGGTGTCATCTGTGTAACAAGTTTCCACATCTTTAAAAATGCTGCAATATTCCCTTTTTCTCCACTCTTGTCTTGGTTACACCAACAAATGTATGGTCGTCTAAATACATTGGTTCTGTCTAGGTGAAATACATAAAATTTCTGTCTGTCGTGGCTTTGAAGTTAGGGATTGCATTTAGATCTATTTATATTTAGTGGAGATCCGATGAAATAAATAGGACATGGGCAAGCCATGATGACTAAATCTGACTGAGTTTGGATCCAGCCCTATGGCTCTGTCGATGGTATCTGAAGCTGAGCTTGGCTTTTCTTCTGACTGTCATGTCGTATTTAGCTTTTAGTCTGTTGGCATCTCGAGATGCATTTCACAAGAACTATGCCAAGTCAAAGATTCCACTTTATTTTATTTGTAATAAAAATAATAATATATTGTTTTTTTATAACATATGCATCTGGGATGTTTTATTTTATTAATTTTAGGCTAGTTTTTTCATTCTCTCATGCTCATTTTGAATTTAATCCCTGTATTCTGAAATTTTATTCCAGTCTTGGTCTACCTATTGATTTAGGACTGATTCCATCAATCTCATCCTTCAAGTTACTAGTAAACATGGGCAAGATAACTAAGTTCAGAAAAGAACTTTGCATACCCCCCACTCAAAACCTCATTGCAGTTTGGTGACAGGAACTTTATTTATTTAGTTAGTTAGTTAGTTAGTTAGTTAGTTAGTTAGTTAGTTAGTTAGTTAGTTAGTTAGTTAGTTAGTTAGTTAGTTAGTTAGTTAGTTAGTTAGTTAGTTAGTTAGTTAGTTAGTTAGTTAGTTAGTTAGTTAGTTAGTTAGTTAGTTAGTTAGTTAGTTAGTTAGTTAGTTAGTTACTGTATTTAGTTAATGCCCATCTAACTGAAGGCCACTCTGAGTGGTTCACAACATAAGCAATAAACAATAAGTAAACATCAAACAGGGATGTAGTGGTGCTGCAGGTTAAACTGCTAAGCCTCTGGGCTGCAAGGTCGAAAGTTTGAATCCACGCAACGGAGTGAGCTCCCGTTGTTTGCCTCAACTCCTGCCAACCTATCCGTTCGAAAGCATGTAAAAATGCAAGTAGATAAATAGGTACCACCACGATGGGAAGGTAACGGCATTCTGTGTCTAGTCGCACTGGCCACATGACCATGGAAACTGTCTACGGACAAACGCTGGCTCTACGGCTTGGAAACGGGGATGAGCACCGCTCCCTACAGTCAGACACGACTGGACCTTTGTCAAGAGTAACTTTTACCTTAAAGATAAACATCAAACCCTGCACAATAAACTAAATGTCAGCATTAGTATAAGAAAAAACAATAAAACATAATAAAATATAAAAAAACCACATTTGAACATTTAAACATTTAAATTTGGGGTAAAAGACCTGTTGGAATAGCCAGGTTTTTAAGAGCTTCTTAAAAGTCACCAATGAAGGGGTCAAGTGGATATCAAAATGGAGTTGGTTCCATAGTTGAAGAGTGACCACCAAGGATTTACAAAAAAGATGTAAATATACTTGATGGATTTTCTCTTTGCTTGTATTTAACCAATTTATTTACAAGTGGATCACCAAGAACAAAATGCTGTACTGAAATAAAGATGATGCGTCACATATGGGAAACCCCAGTGCATACAGCTTACCTGTGGATCCTTGAATCTGGAGGAAATAGTGGCTACATTGACAGAGATTTTAGAGAACCTTCCTCCAATAAGAGCAGTCAGACTGTTCCGGTTGTTACAATCGAAGTTCGGGACAAACCTGTGTTTTGTGGAATGTAAGTGCAGAGTGGCCTTGTAGGCTATTCTTGGTGTGAAGTAACTATTGAGGATGTGGAACCCCAGAGAGAAATTAGATAAGAATTCTGGATTTTCATTTATTTCTTTGACAGCAAATGCCAAGGCTAGGATGTGTTGATAGTTCTTGAGTATTGAACTGTAATGGTAATTGCAAGATTTGTAAACCAAGAAAAAAACAACAGTAAACAGCAGATTAATTATCTTTGCTATATTATTTTTTATGGGTTTAAGCCATAACTCATTGTTGAAAATATGTGGCTACAAGTGTTAATACATTTGAAATAGATATACTTTATGTGAGCTAAATGCAGAAAAATTTCTGGGATCACTATAGGAATTAATCACTTTCTAACAGTACTTTACACTTTTAACTGAATGTGAATGCAGTGTAGCTAAAAGTTACAACATGAAATTGGATCAAGCAACTTGAGGGTTGTAAGAGATGGATCATTTTTATTACTTAAAATCAGAAATACAATAATGAAACTGGGTAGTATTTCTAAAAATACAATAAAGCAAAACATTTTTAAAAGCAAGCAAGCAAGCAAGCAAGCAAGCAAGCAAGCAAGCAAGCAAGCAAGCAAGCAAGCAAGCAAGCAAGCAAGCAAGCAAGCAACCAACCAACCAACCAACCAACCAACCAACCAACCAACCAACCAACCAACCCAGCATTTGAAAATGCTTGTGCAGGGATGGAGATCAAGGCAAAGGAATAGAGGAAAGAAGAGGTAGTTTGCAAAAACTAAAGGAATGATTCAGCATATTTGGTTGTTTGTTTTGTAAAAAGTCTAGAAAAATGGTCAAAACCCATTCGTTCTGTTAATGCTTAGGGAAGAAAACATTCTACTGAATGCTATAAAATTGAAGGTGGGAGAAACACCTTCTCACCCAAGAAACAAAATGCAACACAACACAGTGATCACGACACCCAAATGATCCAGGATTGTCACTTTGCTCACACCAGAAAGTAAATCTCTTGTCACTTAAACGTCATATCTGGCCTGACTCCAAATTTCATCTTCTGAGCATACTGAAGTAAACAAAAGAGAGAAAGAAAGGAAAAGAAATTATGCCTTACATAGGTTCACTAGCCAACGTCTGTGTGGGCTCTTTGTTGAATATGAATTGATTATAGATGAACAAGACCTGAGAAACAACTCCACCAATAACAAGGTCACCTGGCTTGTAAAATTCATGAAGGATAGGGAGGGGGTCATTGCTGATGGTGCAGTTAATAGGAGATGCTTTGCATATAACACGGCACAGAAGAACAAGCAGCAACACTGCCACCAGTATTATCTTGCTGATAGAACATCTTCTCCAAAGATCACTTTCCATGGTTCCAATATCACCCCATATATGACTATATCTTGTTTGTTTTGGTACAACATTCCTTGAATTGTGGAGCATCCTGCTTTTACAGGATGCTCCTGTATGCCAATTCCATGATGGTATCATTTACAGTGGCTCTGCATCCATCACTGTTCTCAAAAAGCATATTATCCTTAATTCTTTCTTCATTCCATTCCCAAAGGCTGAGCAGGAACTGTAAAACTTCTTTTCTTTGCTTATCACTGCTCTGTTGCAGGCAGCTTAGCCTCTGTGTGCAGAAAAACCAGTGTACCTTTGAGAAGTCAGTCCATTTTTTTCCAGTTGTCTAAAACAGACTTCTAAAAATAAGTAGTGATAATGAACGAGGCAAGAAAACAACTTTTTCTGTGACTGCCACAATTTTTTAACCTATTCCATGAGAGTCCATACAGTATGTGTTCAGTTACACAAAGGCTGTGTGAGAATCAGTTCATGGGAATTCATAATTTGTTACTAAAGTCCAATGTATCAGGTGAAAAATCAGGAAGAAGATTAATTGGAGGAGGGCTGATGAGAAACAGTGATAATCAGTGTATAAGTTATTGATTAAAAATAATTGAAGAATCGCATAACAGAAACATACCTAATGTGTAACTGGGAATTTGATCCCACAGCTGAATGAAAATGAACAGCCTATGCCTAGACAGCCTTCTAAACAATATGTAGACTTTTATAGCTTTTTCAGATGTGATTGTTGATCTTGTAGCAGTTGGAAGTCCGCTGTGTAACGGAATGGAAGTTAGTAATTTAGAAAATGCCTGGGGGGATGATTGCTTCCACAATGTGTGATCATCTTTGTATAATGACTGGTATAGTTACAAAGATATTTGTTCTCTCCTCAATCCTCAACCCAACAGTTGGTCCCCCCTCAACCGCTTCTCTGAGGAAAAAAGAGAAGCCACTGAACATGTAGCACAACAGATCCAAGGTGATTGCCTAGAGCTAGTTATGTCCAATTAGATTTAGCACAACTTGAATGTCCTGTTTGGAGTCACATTCATGGGAATACGAGTTTCTGCTTGTTCTTGTTGGTATAGATTGACTTCAATGGATCATTTCTAATCAAAATAGTTTTTTTAGAGACCCTGTATAGATACTACCTAGAAGAGAGAGTACTGAACCTATAACCCTTTGTGGTTGCCCAGATATTTAGCCTTTCCCAGCATTTCCCTTCTTCTTTACAACCACACGGGGTGACCTTTTGAGGCCAGCACATATGAGCAAGTGAAAATGTCTCTGAGGACTTTGATTCTCATAGCTCCCAGAATGTGGGCTGGAGGAACTTCTGGTGAATTATAGAGGTTGCGATGCCAAAAATTAAGGCAGTCTCATCCTTAGAAATGGATGAATTTCTTTTTGAAGTGACTGGCAAATTTGTCCTAAGAGGCAGTTGAGGGTTCCTTTCCTGAGGTAAATCCCAGAAAGTTCACCACATGTAACAGATCTGCTATATGACTGAATTAGGACACTACAGAGGAGGTAAAATATACCCCCCCCTTGATGCATGGCAGGCACGTTGAGATATTGTTACTCATTTTCAGTCGTACTTTGTGGTTTGCCTCAGTGATATTTGAGATGGTGCCATTTATTACATGGTAGCCAGAACGCTCTGGGATGACCACATCTGGGCAACCTTAGCATTATTGCTTAAATCCTACAGAACCACCATCCTTGGGTTCTCCAGCAGCATCTGCGACCTCCTCAGCTTATTTAGACAGCTATACCAGTAGGCATAGGGTTTGATATAGTGAAATATTGTACCTATACAGTGGTGCCTCGCATAATGAGCGCACTGTTTAACGACGAATTCGCATAGTGATCCGTTTTTTGGAATCGCTAATGCGATCGCATTGAGATGATTGAATAGGGCAAAAATCGCTTTCCGTTCCTACTACTAGGGGCAGATTTTTTCTTTTTTTTCCCTTTTAACCTAAGATGACTTAGGTTTTTAAAAAAGGAAAGAAAAGAGGGAGGGAAGGAGGGAACAGACACCTTTTCAACAGAACATCTTGAAAAGCACATTTTCAGCCAAGACAAGCAACTTTTGGGAGGAAAAGGGACAGCAAATGAGAGAGGGAACAAGCACTTTTCAGACAACAGAACACCTTGAAAAACACTCCTCAGCACAAAGAGAGACATGGCTCTGAACTCCATTTTTGCCCTGCTTGCAAGCAGGCTTTCTTCCCAACAGAATTCCTCAGCACAAAGAGAGACATGGCTCTGAACTCCATTTTTATCCTGCTTACAAGCAAGCTTTCTTCCCAGCTTGTGGGTGGGCATGTTACACTCATGGGTGGGCATGTTGCGCTTGTGGAGGGGCATGTCACGCTCATGGGTGGGTGTGTCATGCACGTGTGTGGGCATGTCACACTTGTAGAGGGGCATGTCACACTTAGGTGGGTGTGCCACACTCACAGGTGGGCGTGTCATGCTTGTAGATGGGCATGTTGCGCTTGCGGAGGGGCGTGTCACGTTTGTGTGCAAGCTCGACACCCACCCGCAAGCGTAACATGCCCACCATGCTTGCGTGCAGAGGAGGGCAGAGATCCATGTCCGCAGTCCAGTTCAAGGAGGCCCTGACTCTGACCCAGGGATTGGGTGGAAAGATATTATCATTTTTACCCTGCTTACAAGCAAGCTTTCTTCCCAGCAGAATTCCTCAGCACAAAGAGAGACATGGGT